GAAATTATGTAATGGGGTTTAAAAAGAATCCTGATGAGCCGTTTTAGAGATAATACAAAAAGCGCTAAAGTCAAAATTTAAAGTTGCACTTAGACAGATGTTGAGAAAACAGGTTAGTTTTGAGGATCGCAAGAGAGAAAATGCACCAAAATTGCCCACTATTCTGACGCTACTTAAGAGTAATTTGAGTTATTTAGAACTGTTTATTAAACATTTTATCACGGCTATTGAAAATATAATGTTTGAAAAATATTTGTATTTTATTTGAATTCAAACATATAGAATTTTTTTTCTTCTCACGGAGGGTATTTGCTAAACACCACACTATAAGTTCCAGGTGTCGAATTTTCATTATCAGGTCTTAAGATAACGCAAAACTCGGATTCTATCGATTTCAAAGTTTTTTTTTTATTGTTGTCGTACTGATGTCGATTTTGCTAAAATCTACATTTTGACAAACCTCAATTCGTAATCAATATCTGGTGAAAATTTTGTAACGATCGGACAAGGATAAAATCACTTTTAAGGCGATTGAACAACATCGGTGTGGTCTCCCAAAAACAGTATCGAAACACCTTAATACGTGTTAGAGATTTTATTTCTTGTTGTTTATGTGCGCTGCTTTTGGATTGTGTTATGGCATCTATCTGTTTGAATTTTCCGAGGCTCAGAGTGGGAAACCTTTTATTTTCACCTGTGTCAACCTTTTATTTTCACCTGTAGGTAACCTAGTTCAATGTTTTGGGGGTTTAAAGGCTGCAATGGTATGAGGGGAGTTTCAACCCTCTTCAGCGGGCATTTTGGGCTCTTTTAGATAACTGTAGGTTTTGGAATCCCCTATGTAACTTTAAAACCGCTCATGATATGGCCAGCGATTTAACACGGACTAATATGTTCATTTTAGTTATTACATCTGCGTATAATTTGATTAACACAATGACGTAATATGACGCCAAATTTCAGCACTTTTCTCCTAAAAATAGAAATAAAGCGAAATTAAAAAGAAGTGGAACCATCCGCCATCTTGTTCTCTTTTGCAATTATATAGTTAAATATGTATTTAATTTGCTTTAAAAAAGAACAACCCTAGGTAATCGTGATATATAATTTGTTTAAGTACAAAAGGATACTTTAGACGCGAGATAAATCTGCCAGTAATAAAATTCCGAGAGAAATGAGGTTTGTTATAAATTGATCTCGATAATAATTTGTCATTTGCTCAGTTTAAATCCAAATTTTTATCACATATGTATCTTAAAAGCCTGGATTACCTTAACAGTTAAAAATGGATTTCATAAAATAATGCTAGATATAGTGTAAGGTTATCATTCAATCAGTAAATCAAGAAGTGTACCATTTTTTCAGAAGTTTCAGAAAAAGCTGCTAAGTTCAGCGGTCATTTGAAGGTATTCAAGTTAGTTCGGAGACCTGAAAAGCGCTCCCCCGGGTCTCAATAGACTTAATGATTAGGCTGCTTATCTGCTTAACTGCTTACTACACGCATACTAAGTTGGCTCTTTTACGACTATTGAGTAGACGTCGTTTTCTAAGACTTCGGTTAGTTTATAAAATTGTTTATAATGTTAACTCTCCAGACCAGCTCAAGAACTATCTACAGTGAAACCGGCATTAAGCGGACGCCCTCGGGGAATGCTGTAGTGTCCGCTTAATACAGGGTGTCCGCCTAATACAGTTTTCGATAGATAACGTCATAAGAGATGTCAAATGCCATTCAAATAAACAGTGGAAGTATTCTTAAAAGAATACTCCCAGAGACTCTGACGATATACGTTTGCATTAATTTCTTTATCAAAGTGGACCAGTTGGTCATAGTACCATAAACATAGATTGCAAGTCAAATTTAAAGAAATCAGATGAGTGAAACTAGCTCTATACAAACAAAACGAAAGAGAAAACAATACAATACGTTTTTTAATGTAAAAATCGAAAAAGTTGTGAGTGGCAATTCGAGGTAATCTTTCCCATTTCCGGTGTTTGGCATGTTGGGTAGTGGAATTTGATTAATATATAGATTTAGCCAGGGTTAAAAGCGACGCTCCCATTAATAAATTTGTAATTTCAGTCAAACAATAAACTTGTATTCCGCAAATCAGTTCACTTTAGAGCACATTCATGTGGCTTTTGTTTTGAGGGATTAAAGCTAAGTGATTTGAGAGAACTTTGATAATTTGCTAACAGTCCAAGAGTGCACCAAACCTTACATCGAGTTGACGTCCTTTCTATGTACACCTAAAAAATAGCAATCATCTTCGATCACATTTAACGTCCATAAAGGCTCTTGATCACAGTAGATTAGGCCTGGAAAACAAATACTTGGAAAGCAAATCGGGCAGAATTTTTTCCGTTTGACAAGTTTGCTTTACAAAATCTTGCTAACAAATCTGGGGGCGTGTAAACCAGCCTTTTATACTTTTTGTACATCACATCTGACAGTCTGAGGTGAAACAGTACTACGAGGCGCTGTTTTTATCATACAGACCTCAGACAGAATGCAGTATTTCACAGTTTTGAAATATAAATTGCAATCATTCAATATTCAGGACGATCGAAGCACGCGTGGGCTTTTAGCGAAACCGCTAAAAAAGTTCCAAAATCACCTATATAACGGCCGGCCAGTTGCAAGCTGTGGAGTGTTTGAATGAACATTAAGAGAGTTACACTTCAACATAATAAAGAATTTATTGTGTTTTTTTTTTTTATTTAATGGTTTTATAACGATGTGTAAACTTAACAAGCGTTTAATACGCGCGACGTTTTGACTACTCTTGCGACTGAAAACATTAACGGCAAATTGCAAGAGAGACTACTAACAATCAATAAAAGAAATATAATTCGGTGAGACATTTACAGAGACAACAATTTTCATTCACGAAGACAATTAAGTATTAAAGTGTCTCTAAGAATCCTGAGTCTTTATGCTTAAAGCCAAAGTTTTTGTTTTAAAGCCGGCTTCCCGGTGTTTGCTGTTTTCAAATATGAACTCGAGGCGAGAAAATTGCGCAAAGCTTTCTTTCTACAGCCAAAATAAAAAAGCAACGTTTTTTTCTTTCTATTTGCGGTGAGAAAATATCGACTAAAGACTTTTTAAAGTTCTGCAAGCCTAAATCAAACCTCATACTATAGGTCAGATCATTATCTCAAATCTTAATTCAAACACGCATAAACTATAGCCTCATAAACTGCGCTGGGCTTCATGAAATTAGATATATAAAAAAAAAAAAAAAAACACAAATAAAATAATTACTCAGGCAGCTCCTGGAAGCTACATCGCTTCAGACTTTTCAATCAAGCAAGGTGAAAAACGAAAACGAGTCGATGCTGTCCGAAATCGGATTTCCGACTTTGACAGGGACGTATTTCTCAACCAAAAACCCAATAGACAAACTAGCCATGAATAACAGAAGACTCTTGATAGTAGCTGAATTTCATTTCGTACATCCAGTAGAAAAAGACAGTTAAACACATCTCAAGTTGACACAAAACTCTGTCAGCTTCAGCTGTCACAGTAAACAAGTTTCAAGATGCTGCATAAATTTTCCGCATAAACTCACCTGTCAAATTTTTCCAATCAGAGCATAAAAATTGGACGTAGAGCGTGACCAACGCGTTCACGGACGACTGAAAACAACAACTGGCAAAGCGATTATTTAAGAACGAGATCTTGACAAACAATCAAGACAAGAAATATAATACGAAGAAACATTTAAAGGTCAACAATTGTTATTCCCGAAGACGTGTTTTGAGAGTAAAGCTGAGTCACTAATAGATTTAAATTAAGCCTTAAGTTTTAAGCCGCCTTCGCCGTGTTTGCTATTTTGCAAGATGAACTCCAGGCAAGAATATCGCTCAAAGTTTTCTTTTTACAAACAATAGGATAACTAAACTATTTTTCAGAACTTTTTCTTCTAGTCGCGGTCATGCAGAAAATGTCTAAAGACTTTTTAAGTTCTTTACTGGTCAGATAAATTGATTCAAACCTTACAAATGTGCGTAAAATGACGGCATAAACAAAGAGTAGCTTATTTTTGAAAACGATGATTCCCGATTTCTTTTTGTCGTGCAGCGCATTTCTCAACCACAACCCAGTAAACAAGCCAGCCAAGAATAACTTAAAAGAATGTTGATAGCTGCTGTATTTCATTTTGTAGATCCAGTGCAAAAATACAGGTAAAAACATCAAAAGATGACTCAAAACTCTGTCAGCTTCAGCTATCAGTGAACAAGTCGCAGATGCTGCATAAATTTTCCACTTGAATCCTCTTCGCTAGCGCGCCTGTTAATTCTTACTCTATGCCTTTCTCTTCTTCTCTTTCCCGTCGCTTTTCACTTACAAGCAAGTAGTTTGAATCCAATCCGCTATTGTTTCTTGCCATAACAATTTCTTCGAAACAGTTTACTAGAAACTGAACTCTCGGGACACAAAATCCTTATGCAATGAAGTAGTCCCGTTGAAGTAAACATGTTTTTGAACGCGACGACAGCAACGTCATTTCTTGCGCGATTTCCCGCCAAGAAACAGGTGGGTTACACAAATGCATCGCGCGATTTATAACATGCTCCTCCCCCGGACGGGCTGACACCTGATTCCCTTCCCTCCCCCGCAAAGAGTGTAAGGGCGTACGCTACGTCATAACCAAATTTTCTCGGATGGATGGTTTACCAAATTTTATTACTCATGGTGCTCCGCTGGCGCGCTTCGCGCGCCGGAGCTCCGCTATTAACTGTAATTTATCTTAAGCAAATAATTAGTCTCGCTTGCTTTTATAGCAGCGAGACTCTAAAAATGCAAGCGATTCTTTTATATATTCTGAAGAATACTCGATCGTTGATAACATAACATAGAGAGTAAAAACCTTTTAGCGAGGAAATCCTTTTTTAAGGTAGAATAATCACCTCCTCACTTCTTAGCTAATCTCCAAGCAAGCGAGGTGTTCTTGTTTAACCTAAAACTGCTCGAAAATATCATTTGATTTCATACAGGTAAAAGACATGAAGTTCTTGATTTTGCTGAGTATACTTTGTATCTTCTCCCAAGACCTTGTGGAGGTACAGCTTTTAACAGAAACATATAACCCTCTTAGGATTATATGCTTCTGCTATTAATCAGTAAGTTTGCGCTTTCCGATGAATGTTAGTGTTTTGGATGATTTAGGACGTTCTCCTTGCGTTTAACTGGTATCTAATAAAAAAATCGCAAACACCTCAATTAATTATTTTTTCTCGTTGTGGTTTGTTCTTCCTTTTTTTGCCGTTCAAGAGCGTATTCACATGACGTCAAGGCGGCCATATTGGTGTTCCAAACAAATCCTGTGGGAGTTGGACTCTTTTCTTATGTAAGAAATTCTTTACTTCCCAAAAATGTCCATAGATGCTCGCCACGTGAGTGAATACGCTCTCCCCACGTTCCCATAAATTGCATAGATACTGAACACGTGCGTGAATAAGCTCTCTTTTGTTCTCATAAATGGCATATATAGATGCTGGACACGTGAATGAATACGCTCTTTATCGGGTAATTTGAATTACACTTTTTGTGTAACTTTCTGTTTGTTTGTTTGTTTGTTTGTTTGTATGTTTGGTTTTTTGTTTGTTTGTTGTTGTTGTTGTTGTTTTTTAGGGGCAACAGAGAACACTAGTTTTCCCAATACTGTCAAAATCCGTTAATAAAGCACCTTTGAGATTCCAATACTTCAAAAGCTGTCCAGATGTTTATTGAGGCGAGGCTTGGTACAAAAAAGTTTTATCATTTAACATTCTTTTTGAAGAATCTAACACAGTTACTTCTTTTTATTTTGGATGCACTCAGGTCACAGGCAGAGAATTGGAGCGTAAGTTATGTTTTTTGTCTTCTGAAACATATATGGAACATTTATGAAAATCCCACTAACAAATCCCAACACACCTCTGTGGTCTAGAGATCGTAAAACCACATTTGCACTGAGTAAATTTGGTGTAAACCAAATTTTTCACACAGCCAGCATTTTTACGTCGCACTAAGTGTGATCTAATTGTAGTGTCCAACTTGAAAACAAATCGTATGCCATGCTGTTGTAGGCAACGACGAACTGCTTCAGGTGACCCTTAACTGTATGGCAGAATCGTAGATTGTAGATTTAATTTCGGTTGTAGGTTCTTTATCAGATGTCTGGTTCCTGGATTATTAATGTTAGCAACAAACGAATAGGGGTATAAGATATTTAGAAATTTCGCTTTTACAGGTTTGTTCGTTTGTTGGTTACTTGTTGGTTTTTCTTTCACATAGATTGTCCCAAATGCAAACCTCAAGTGCAGTGTGTTGTGGATCCTTGCAGGTTTAACCCTTGTGGAGGGCCAGCAATTTCTAGGCTCCTGGAAAGGAGGAATACAGTGTGCAAGCCTTGCTTCTGTTTTGGCTGTGACTTCATTTGTGAGCAGCAACTAAAAGGATAACGCGCACGCGTGCTTTTTTGGCACTGCGGACCAGCCACAATCACAGTTATACAGTGAATCTGTAATCAGGAAAATACTTCCTATACCCATAAAAATGTGTATGATTTAATGAATGAAATAAAGGTGTCCGTGAACATGTTAAGTTTCCTTTATTTATTTATATATTTATTTCGTTGTTGCTGTTGTTGTTCTCAATAGTTCATTTTACAGTTGCGGGTGCAAACGAGGCTGAAGTTGACCTTGTTTTGATACAAACTTTATCCTCTTTTATTGTGTAAATCATGTTGCTCTAAGTGCTAACTAGTATTTTTTTAGCATGGTTTTCATAAGAAAAGGAAAGAGGTTTGTATCAAAACAAGGTCACTATCAGCCTCACTTTCACTCAGAGGCTAGGGTACTAAGATCATAACTGTAAAATGATCTATTGCTGTTTCATTTCCAACAACCCGTCACCCTCCCCCAAAATACAAACATGAGAGGATGAAGTTTTGTTTCGAAGGTTTTTCTTCAAAAGATTGAATTGAAACGAAATCAAGTGAATATCACTGGAATGTTGTTTATGAATTGCTAATTTTTCTGGCCGAGAATGGAAAAAGCGAAGGTTGCACTCTTAGTTTTCGTACTCTGTAATAGCTTCTTTGAACGACGCAAATTGGAATGCGAGGTTTATATTCTCTTTTTTAGCCTTTATAATCCACAGCAGAAAGTTGCCACTTACAGTTCCAGAAAATTAATTGAGGCTAAAAATCGTAACAAATCACTACGATTACTACTGATTATAACGCGCCATTTTACATTACGCGCAAACTATTTGAACGATCAGGGGCACCCAACGTCAATTTTCGTACGGAAGACGGTTTGAGATCTAAATAATTGTATAATTGCCCATTTTCAACGGATTTTTACCCTAAAAAGGTTACCTAGAATTTTGGAGAGCCTTTTTTCTGGCTGAAATTTCGAAGAGGTCAGTTTTGATCCCTATAATTTTCGGATCACTAGACTTTCAGCTAGGAAATCCGAACGGATGAAAAACTTTTAGGGAATGAAAATATGCCTATACCTACCGTTTAAATACTAAAATACGTTTAACAATGCTAGGGTGCTCCTGAACGATGAAATCTACTCGGATCCAACGTTAGCAATGATGTCGCCATGTGTGGTACGCAAGATACTCAAGAAACTGATCCGCTGCGTTTCTCTGAGAAAAGAGAATCTCTTACCAGTCATGATTTATCTTTAACTGAGAAAACTATCGTCGCTCATCAGATATCAGGTGCTTGTCAGTGATTATTCCGTTTTATAAAATAACTTAGATAGTACGCGCGTTCTGATTGGTTAAAAACCTATGGTTTATTGTGCCGGTAAACTCATAGAAAACTGAAACATTTTTCTACTCCCGAAAAAATGGCTGACGACGAGCTACCAAATTTTGATATTATTTCGTCGTTGGGCTTGCAAGCGCCAGAAAGCGAAGCAAAGAACAGCGGTAAAAAGAATGAGGTAGCCAACAACAAGAGAAGATTTGCACAGATGGACGAAGAAGAACTCAACGACGTTGTAAATACTTCTCAGGCGAAGCGAACTAAAAAGGCAACGCAGTGGGCTGTAACAGTTTTCACAGGTTGGTTACAAAAATCTCGCTCTATTTTCATTTTTTATTACAGAAAAAAATTCGATAACAACAAACAGCAACAATTCAAACCGAAATTGTGGTGTTGAGAGCAAATATTTAGCATTGTTATAGTGTCAAACCAAATCGTAACCAAATTATTGAAGCGTTTCAGACTTTTTGATTCAGAACTGTAAACTACTTAAAACGAGAGATTACTAAATAAAATGTCTCGCAAACGTGTATATGTTTCGCTTATTTCAGAACAACAGCTTTCTTAAAGCTAAGAGGTCAATTTTTTATTTCTGCAGAGTGGAGTAAGCAGAAAAAAATTGGTATTAATTTGGCTGAAATGACAATTACCGAGTTGGACGAAAGTCTTCGCCAATTTTATGCCGAGGCCCGTAACAAGGAGGGAGAAAATTACAGCAGAGCAACGTTACTCTCTCTCAGAAATGGCGTTGAAAGATTTCTTAATTCACCTCCCAACAACCGTGGTATTTCCCTCACTAAAGACCCCCAGTTTGTTCTCTCCAACCAGATGTTGGACGCAAAAATAAAACAGCTCAAGAAAGAAGGCCTTCAAAACACAAGCCACAAGCCGGCTATCGAGCTGGAAGATCTTGAAAAGCTCAAAAACAGTGAAATTCTTTCACTTACCCAGCCCTGGTCCCTTTTGAGAAATGTTTGGTTCCACATTTCACTGTTTTGGTGTCGCCGTGGCTTTGAAGGTCAGCGAAGCTTGAAAAGAAGAAGTTTTACATTTGATGTTGATGCTAAAGGCGACCATTTTGTGTCGATGACGCACGACGAAAGCACGAAAAACCACCCAGGCGGAGTTTCAGACGTAGAAAGCTTTGAAAAAAATGCAAGAATGTACAAAACCAGCAGCAAAACAGATGGCTACACTGGTCTCGAAGTTTTTCTCTCAAAACTGCATCCTGAATGCGAAGCGCTGTTCCAATATCCCAAACGAAATTGGCGGCAAACTGACAAGATATGGTACGAAAATCGGCCGCTAGGAGTAAACAAGCTGTCAGCAATGATGAAGGAGATCAGCTCCGCGGCCAACCTTTCCCGTGTTTACACCAATCATTCAGTAAGAGCGACTGCCATAACCTTGTGGGCAAATGCTGGCCTCACAAATCGTGAGATCATGGCAATATCTGGTCATCGCAACGAGTCGAGCCTACAAAGCTATCACAACATGCCGTCGGCGCATCAACTGCGTAAATGCAGCGACGTGCTCAGTTTAGCTCTCGGTGAAGACCAGTCGAAGGAACAGACGCCAAATCAGCTCGTGGTAAGGCCACCACTGCAACAGCTGCAAGTTCCTTCCATCAACACTTCAATATCCACAAATCAGCAGAGCACGTCGGAGTTCAAGCAGCTGTTCAATTTATGCACGATCGGGAATGTTAATGTTTACAATTACAAGCCATAAAATTTGACTTCCTGTAAAACAGCTTTCATATAAAGTTTCCATTGAGTTCAAAACTTGTTCTTGTCAGTGAGAAGATTTGTTGTTTCTCGTTCGATGGACTGTGAAGTTTTGTGAAAGATTAGCGCTTGGCGCTTGATTACTTTTTCGGTGCTATAGTATCGTTAGCTATGATTGGCTTATGGTGACTTTAGAGAGAAGACAAGATTTGATCACGCTATTAAAAGATTTTTTTGCCTAAACGACTCCGTTTTACTAAAAGTTATTTTATAAAAGCAATAGACCACACTTTCTATGGGTTTACCGAAAAGCTTGTAAATCGAAAAGCTTGTAAATCACTCGCCTTTGGCTCGTGATTTACAAGCTTTTCTCGTGTTCTCCCAACATCCCGCGTGGGTTATCACGCCGGTAAACCCATAGAAAGTGTGGTCTATTGCTTAATTACACTAACCATAACTGAACAACAAACCCGTTAGAGGTACTTGTCATTACCCGCTTGGAACAGATTTTCATTTTTATAATAATGATCATTCATCGGAATTTCTCGCTAAAATGTCGAGAAACCACTCAAAATGGCCGGCTTTAAATCGTTTAGCTATCTTGAGTAGAGGTAACAAGATAATTTAGTGGCAGGTGTCCGACTTCTATAAAGCTCTTTTTCAGTAGAGATTTTTCAAGATGGATAAATTAGCTATAGCCAACTATCGCCAATAAAATACTGTTTAGAAGCAGCGTTATATTTTCACCATGACCAAGTCAACTCGTAAACAATCAAGCGCTAGTTGTCTATTTCGGAGGACAGCATGAGAACTGAACCAGAGCAATTTTCAATGACCGGCCCAGTCGCTAAACCAAAAACTGAAAGGCAGTATTAGTAGTCAATAAAAAACAGGCGAACAATCCGGCAGTCAGCCAATTAAAGCTTGGTGAAACGGCATGAAGCTGATGATAAGCTCGGCGGATGATCCCAGCTTTGGTTTAGAACTGATTGGACTTTTCTTAATCATTTCTACAGGCTTACTATGGGCAGGTGGCAGTGGAAACCAAATCAATAACCTAAAGTTCCATTCACAACGAGGAAGTTCTTTTGATTGAAGTTCAATTTAATCGTCACTTTTAGAGGTAGAAAAATTGTGTTTGATGCCATGTTTCTATTCCACAAACATAACCACTGCGAGTTAACGGGTGGTGTCGTGGATTCTTCCTCCTTAACTGCTAGTGTTTATGTTTTTATTTTTTGTTGGTTTGACTCATTTTTTTAGGTTGAAAGCAAGTCTGTCGGAAGAGTGCCAAAAGGTACGTATTTACTGAGTTCCCTTCAGTCCCTTCCCAATTCGGCTGAGTTGGGAAGAGACTCAGTCTCCGAAGGGAGGATCACTGGAAGTTTTTGATGAGATGTTTTCTGGGGTCAATGAAATGAACAAGCGGTTTTAAATTCGTTACTGTTTGACTTCTGATACCACCATCCAATCATAATTAACGTATGTCCACCCAAACTATACCTATTAGTTTTTTTCCCAAAGTTATTTTGCCATATTGTTTTTTGAGTGTAGATTTCCCTTTGTTCCATTTTTTTTTGTTCGGCAAAACTAATCACTTCATTGTTCGCTTCACATTTATGCGGCCTAACATCATGCCCAAACGTCCAGCAGATTGAATGCTTTGTAGACCCCTCATTACAGAAACGCGCCCATTGAAAAACGTCGCCCGTGAAAATTGGGGTACCCATTAGGCTTTGCGAGCTCAAACAAGGTTTCAAAGACTACCGCCATCTTTCGGTGCCGTCAGAACTCTGAGCGGCGAATTTGCAATTTTTCTGTCTCACACCTTTGAGCAGACAATACAGATACAATAGAAGGATTAACCATTGTTTTGAAGTGTCGAAATGCAGGTTTCATCGGCAAAGGCTCCAGAGCGTGAAGTACTTAATATGCGAAATGAAGCGAATTCCTTCGTGACTGAAACACTACAAACAATCGAAGCGTTGTCCGTCTCG